GGAATAATCATTCTAGGCGCTTCCTTTTAATCTATTGTGCAAATCTAAAATAACATCTGATGCTTGAGCCCAACTTAAGTCTGTCTGTCTGATATTGGCGCCCAATGCATGATCGAATAAAAAATTATGGAATATTTTCACATTCATGTTTTTTTTAAGATTTGATAAATGCTTGACGTTTAGGAGGCAGGTGCCCAACGTTGGGTCTTAAGAAAAATACTTTGTTATTTGTTCTCAGGGGCATATTTCTTAAACCTAATGCGCAAAATGGGAATTGATTTGTATTTTTTCATAAATTAATCTATATTTGGGGTTACTTGATATTGGCGCCCGATGTAGGGTCCAATAAAAAATTATGGAATATTCGTCTTAAATGCATATTTTCTTAAAGAAAATATTTCTACCGTGAACATCTAAGGTTATTTTTCATGTTTTGATAAATGGCGCCCAACGTAGGGTACAATGAAAAAATTTCGAATTTTTCGTTTTAGAACAATATTTCTCACAAATCTATTATGGAAATCTGATGAGTAGAGATGGTATTTACCGGGTATTTACCCGGTAAATACCCAAGGGGTGGGTAAATACCGGGTAAATACCCATTTGCGGGTATTTATTTGGGTATTTACTACATTGAATCGGTAATACAACATCTTACACCCTATTTCCGGGTTTCTGTATCAAATCGATTTAGAATGGATAGTTTTACGATACTTTAAAGACGTGGGTAAAAACTTGGGTAAATACCCGAGTTTTTACCCCAAAAATTGGGTATAAACTCATTAACTGCAGAACCACTTGACATAGGCGGCCAAAATTTTGCACACATGTTTCTAATGTCAAAGCAAATACAGAAATCCAACATGGGGTATCTGGGTCCAAGTTTTGATATAGCCCCCATATAACCATATTTCCCGATTTAAGGTATTTTTTGTCTATTAGACACATTTTACAACCAAATTGGCTGTAAGTTGGCACAGAGTGTTCTTTTTGAGTACCAAATGTCCATGCAAAAATTTATGTATGTAGGTCCACGTTTACTGGTAGCCCCCATACAAAGGTACCCCTATTTTGAGTATATACCCAAAAAATGGGTATAAACTCATTAACTGCAGAACCACTTGACATAGGCGGCCAAAATTTTGCACACATGTTTCTAATGTCAAAGCAAATATAAAAATCCAACATGGGGTCCCTGGGTCCAAGTTTTGATATAGCCCCCATATAACCATATCTCCCGATTTAAGGTATTTTTTGTCTATTAGACACATTTTACAACCAAATTGGCCGTAATTTGGCACAGAGTGTTCTCTTTGGGTACCAAATGTCCATGCAAAAATTTATGTATGTAGGTCCATATTTACTGGTAGCCCCTATACAAAGGTACCCCTATTTTGAGTATTTACCCAAAAAATGGGTATAAACTCATTAACTGCAGAACCACTTGACATAGGCGGCCAAAAATTGGCTCAGATGGTTTTTATATCAATACAAATATTGAAATCCAAAATGGGGTATCTGGGTCCAAGTTTTGATATAGCCCCCATATAACCATATTTCCCGATTTAAGGTATTTTTTGTCTATTAGACACATTTTACAACCAAATTGGCTGTTAGTTGGCACAGAGTGTTCTTTTTGAGTACCAAATGTCCATGCAAAAATTTATGTATGTAGGTCCACGTTTACTGGTTGCCCCCATACAAAGGTACCCCTATTTTGAGTATTTACCCAAAAAATGGGTATAAACTCATTAACTGCAGAACCACTTGACATAGGCGGCCAAAAATTGGCTCAGATGGTTTTTATATCAATACAAATATTGAAATCCAAAATGGGGTCCCTGGGTCCAAGTTTTGATATAGCCCCCATATAACCGTATCTCCCGATTTAAGGTATTTTTTGCCTATTAGACACATTTTAGGGCCAAATTGGCTGTAATTTGGCACAGAGTGTTCTCTTTGGGTACTAAATGTCCATGCAAAAATTTATGTATGTAAGTCCACGTTTACTGGTAGTCCCCATACAAAGGTACCCCTATTTTGAGTATTTACCCAAAAAATGGGTATAAACTCATTAACTGCAGAACCACTTGACATAGGCGGCCAAAAATTGGTTCAGATGGTTTTAATATCAATACAAATACTGGTGTGGGAAATGGGGTCTCTGGGTCCAAGTTCTGATATAGCCCTCATGTAACCGTAGCTCCCGATTTTAGGTAATTTTTATCTATTAGCCAATTTTATTGGCTGGAATTTGGCTCAGAGAGTTCTCAATGAGTACCAATTGTTTACTCTGGTCCACGTTTTCTGTCCTATATAACGGTCCTGATTTTGGGTATTTATATATATTTAACAGCCGAACTAATTGACGTGTGTTTGGAAGACCCCAATTCCCATACAGGAAATGATGTTGATTTTGAACCATTTGTGTCAAAAACCACATTAAATCGGGAGATATGGTTATATGGGGGCTATATCAAAACTTGGACCCAGGGACCCCATGTTGGATTTTTATATTTGCTTTGACATTTGAAACATGTGTGCAAAATTTTGGCCGCCTATGTCAAGTGGTTCGGCAGTTAATGAGTTTATACCCTATTTTTGGGTAAATACTCAAAATAGGGGTACCTTTGTATGGGGGCTACCAGTAAACGTGGACCTACATACATAAAATTTTGCATGGACATTTAGTACTCAAAAAGAACACTCTGTGCCAAATTACAGCCAATTTGGTTGTAAAATGTGACTAATAGACAAAAAATACTTTAAATCGGGAGATATGGTTATATGGGGGCTATATCAAAACTTGGACCCAGGGACCCCATGTTGGATTTTTATATTTGCTTTGACATTAGAAACATGTGTGCAAAATTTTGGCCGCCTGTGTCAAGTGGTTCGGCAGTTAATGAGTTTATAACCTATTTTTGGGTAAATACTCAAAATATGGGTACCTTTGTATGGGGGCTGCCAGTAAACGTGGACCTACATACATAAATTTTTGCATGGACATTTTGTACTCAAAAAGAACACTCTGTGCCAACTTACAGCCAATTTGGTTGTAAAATGTGTCTAATAGACAAAAAATACCTTAAATCGGGAAATATGGTTATATGGGGGCTATATCAAAACTTGGACCCAGATACCCCATGTTGGATTTCTGTATTTGCTTTGACATTAGAAACATGTGTGCAAAATTTTGGCCGCCTATGTCAAGTGGTTCTGCAGTTAATGAGTTTATACCCAATTTTTGGGTAAAAACTCGGGTATTTACCCAAGTTTTTACCCACGTCTTTAAAGTATCGTAAAACTATCCATTCTTAATCGATTTGATAACATAAACCCGGAAATAGGGTGTAAGATGTTGTATTACCGATTGAATATAGTAAATACCCAAATAAATACCCACAAATGGGTATTTACCCAATTTACCGGGTATTTACCCAATTTACCGGGTATTTACCCTTTGGGTATTTACCCACTGCCCATCTCTACTGATGAGATGTATATTTTTCGATAAATGGCATCGAACATGAGGCTAATTAGTATTGGCGCCCAATGTGTGGCCCATTCAAAAATTATGAAATACTCAACTTAAATGAATTAAAAAAGGAAACCAATAAACAAGCTTTTTCTATTGTGAACATTAGAGGCTATTTTTTATGTTTTGATAAATGGCGCCCAACGTGGGATACAATGAACAAATGTAGAATATTCGTGATGGAGGCATATTTCTCAAAAAAATATTATGCAATTCTAATGAGATTTATATTTTTGGATAAATGGCGTTGAAAATGAGGCTATTTAGTATTGGCGCCCAATGTGGGGTCCAAGCAAAAATTATGACATATTCATCAGAAATTCATATTTTCTTAAAGGAACTCTTTCTATTAGAAAAATCTGAAATTATTTGTTTAAGTTTAAGTGTTTAAGTTTAAGTTCTCAAAAAATCTATTATGCTAATCTGATGAGATTTCTATTTTTTTTGATAATTGGCGCCCAATGTGGGTCCAATCAAAAATTATGAAATATTCGTTTTATATTCACATTTTCTAAATGAACTCTTTCTATTTGAAAAATCTGAAATATTTTTTTTTAAATTTTGATAAATGGCGGCCAACGTGGGGTACAATGAAAAATGTAGTATATTCGTTCTGGAGGCAAATTTCTCAAAAATGTATTATCTACTAATGCTAATGTAATGAAATTTATATTTTTTGATAAATGGCATCGAACATGAGACTTCTTAGTATTGGCGCCCAATGTGGAGTCCCATCAAATATTATGAAATATTCTTTCTAATGCAAAAGTCTGAGACTATTTTTCATATTAAGATAAATGGCGCCCAACGTCAAACTACTTCCAAGATGATCACTATTAAGAGGTTAAATGAAGGTTAGCTTGAAACGAAGAAAATAAAAAGTTAATTGAGTAGAAAACCACTACAAAGAACTAATTATTAATACTACAACAACAAGTAGAGAAATGTGTAAGTAGATGAGCGATCCGGAAAAAAGAGCTACAGCTAGAAGAACTACAAAAATAAATTTTAAAAATCATTTCCTTACACTGTGAAAAAGTAAAAATGTATCCACACAAAATAACGAGCAAAATTTTTGTTTGTGGTTGTTGGTGCGCTTTTGAAAGATGAGAGGCAGTGTCGGTTGTGGTGGTGCAAAATTTTCGGTTGAATTTTGAATTTGATCATTTCGTTCCAAAAAAAAAGTTTGGTATTTTTCCGTTTTTTTTTTTTTTTGTTAAAAAAATTATCACAAAAAGTTGGTGCTAAGATGTGGAATGATGGGGAAACCAGGGAGACGGGAGGTTCTTAAGGTTAGTGGTATTGTGTTTGTTTGAAGGGAAGCAATGAGGTAGGAAGTTGGTGCCAGGAAAATCAGATAAGAGAAGCTTAAATGCGAGAAGTGATTAATTTCTAGGTTTTTGGGAATATGGAGAGTAGAGAGCATCCTCTCTTCCCTCTCTCTCTTGTTTAAAAATAAAAACTATGAACATGTGCATATGCCAAATGGTTGATGCGTCGACACCGTACTGCGTACCGTGCGACGCCTTAACCCCTTACCACCACCACCATAATATTGATGCTGATGATACCGATTCGCACCCGCCGAGCCGAATAGCTGAGCATGATCATTAACTAAATTTTGCTGATAGGCTTTGGTATTAATGGCTGCCGGTACGGCATATAACATATAATTATCATAGACATGACTGACATCGGAATTCCGCTTGGCCGGTAAATAGGGTAGGAAAGCAAAAGAGGACGATGTGGAATGGGTGGATTTCTGTGAATGCTTTCGCGACTTATTAAGCAAAGCTAAACGGCTGATGGGCCGTGGTAGAGAACTTTTACGCAAAGTACTCTGATTCGAATAGGTGGGTGGTATTATTTTCGATTTTAATTTATATTCATAGGTGGGTGAGTCCAGAGAGGGGGATTGAGAATTTTGCGAGGTGGCAGATGGTGGCAAGGGTGGCACTCGTTCAGGTTTTGCCGGTATGGCTATGGGAATTAGGGAATGTTTACGTTTCTTGCGGGGTGGTTTAGGGGGAGGGGATTTTTCATTAGCCATCGTTGTATCGTTTGAAATTTCTTGTTTCTCTTCTCCCGCAATTGTGTGAGTAGCCGAAGCCGAAGCTGAAGAGGAAGAGATTTGTTTAATCTCCTCTCTCGCGTGTTCGTTATTCGTTTCTAAAATTTTTGTTGTTTCTTGTTTTTGTTCGTTTGCTAAATTCGTTACGCTTACGTACGTCGTATTTTCGGCGGTTGTTGTCACGGCTTTCACGGCTGATTTGCTAGACTTGCCGCCATGCCTTTCGTCAACGCCATTAGATGTAGATGTCGTTGTTGCTGTCGTCGTCGTGGTGGTGGTGCTGCGTTGTTCATGGCGTTGTTGGGATGTTGAGCGACTGGAGTGAGCTATGGGGGGCGAATAGAAAAAAAGAGAAAAAAATTTAATTAGAATTCATATTTTTATTAAAGAAATATTTTCCAAAATTTAATCACTTCAAAATTTGGACCTCAACTGTTAAATATCCTCTAGGGAAGCTATATCAATTTATTAATTTTTTAATGTGCTTGTGTTGCGTGATTTTTTTTGATTCTTCTATAAAATTCAAAATATTTTCAGTGTAGTGTTAAAGGGTGTATCGGGGAATTGGTGCTTTTATCTGTTCTATTATTAGCAGTTATTTTAGTTTCTTTTAATTTTTTCATTTCATTCTAACCTAAAACGTTTGTGCAAATTTGTTGGCTGTGTGGCACCCATTATCAATAGGCCCAGAACCAGTAATTCTGCAAAAGAATAGAATATACAAAAATAATAAGGGGGAATATTAAAAAAAAAAAACAATGACAAAAATTATATAGACAAAATAAATGATAATAGATATATGCTATTTTGACTGGGAACCCATGACACATTCCGAAACGTAAGTACAGATTTTGGGAACTAACTAAATATAAAGAATACCGAAATATGCATTTCAAATCGATGTTAGTTACAAGCTCATGCTTGGCTTTTAGCACAACGTAATTGTCTGTGGAGAAGAATCTCCTTTACCAGGAACGTAAAATGTCAAACTTGAGACTTTTCAAAATATCGAAAATTAGGAGAGGCCTAACATGTGTAACCCACATATAGTTTGACTCAGAGTCTGTGTTCAAAATACTTTGAACAAAATTTTATGTTACAGAAGATTTGATCGTTGGACTGTTTTAAGTTAAGAGTCTAAAATCTCACATGCAACGCTGATAACATCAAATATTGTAAGGTTTCCACTACCTCACTCACTCAGCTCCTTCCTTATATCCAAATATATTTGAAGCATTCTGTTAAATTTGAAGAATATATCTTCAGTGAACTCCAAACCTCCATGTTTTGGAAGCAATATAGTGAGTTCCACATACAATGTTTTCAAAGGCTCCGTTTCAATTAGTGCAGTGTTCTTAGACATGCCAGGCAAATCATGTCTCACGTCATCACATCGGTTAATCACATAATCGGTGTCATTATACATTTCCTCCACTACAAAATCATATATTCTGGTGTTCTTGGCGTAAATCAGACAATAGAATTCCAGATAATCCCGCTTGATACCATCCACTTTCTTTATAACGGTTTCACACATTTGATTAATCCGCTTCAGTACGGAATTTATTTCTTTATAATTTTTTCATTTCTTCCAACTTGTCTTTAATAATATTTGTCCATTCCTTTAGTAAACCTATTGGCCAAAATATTATTTTTTCCGATAAATATGTACATGTGGCGTTTAATTCCTGGGCATTATTTTTTCCGATAAATATGTGAATATGGTGTTTAACTCCTGGGCATGTCGATTAAATCGCCTGTACTCCTCCTTCTCATCAAGTCTTTTTTCCAAAGACTCCATGGGAAAATCTAACACTTTCTCCATCTTCTGTTGTTAAATAATAAAAAGAACTGTTCACCTCGTGGAACAGAAAATCTCTAACAATTTTTGAGCTCCTCACTCAAAATAGTTATTGTATTTTTTAATTCTAAGCCATGGGTGGGGAAAAACTCAGTTTTTGCAAAGGACCAAAAATGTAAAATATACAGATAAGGTGCTTCCGATCATTCTTGTTGAGTGGTTGTAAGGCACTGATTTGTTTGTAAAATATTTATCCTTAGGCACTACTTAAACGATCAAATCTTCTGTAAAAAATAATTCTGAATACCTGACCTTTGTTAAATTGTTCAAAGCTGTTTTATTGCAGAACAAATAGTCCCATAGCCTGACTTTAAACGTATTGAAACGTATAAATATTTTTATATTCTACAGAAGGTTATTATAGATTTGAAAGGGCCCAATGAAGTTTCGGTTAAGGACAAGGACGCTGCCTATAGTTTTCGATGATGATCAGATAATGTTTAGGGGATGACATGGACCGAAAACTTTATCATTTTCTTTACGAGGAAGGGAATCTGGGCAACTATGTAGAATAACTCTTTTAATAATGAACGGTGAATATTTAGCGGGTTAAATAAACCAAAACTTAAAAAAAAAATCTTGAAGTGTTCACTGCGAGAAAAAAAAGATACCAGGGTAGTAACCATTAATCGTTTGTCAAGAGGATGTATGTTGGGAATAGATTCGGGGGAATTTAGTTCGTCTATGTTGCTACGTTCACTGGAAAAATTAGAAATACGTGCTTTTATTTTAAAAAATTGCGTATGCATCTTTTTCGAACATATGTTTCTATATGAAGGAGTTACCAGATCAAAACAAAATTTAACATGTGTTCATAACAGAGATGGAAGTTTCCAAAACACTTAACACTATGATTTTTGATGATATTTCCATGAATTTAAATCAGATGTTTAATATATATATTCTACTCTTAATCATCTCATTATGGCTGTCATTTATTCAAAAGACAGAAGTTTCGAAACAGTTCTCAGGAGTTTGTTGAGGAACGTGTAGTGGTACAAAAAGCCCACAGGAGAACCATACCCGTGAATTAGAACAAAATTGATATGATTGTAGTTAGGTAGTTCCGGAATGAACTAGTTCAAAAGAAGTATTCCGCAAGATATAAGAACGAGACTAGTTCCGGTACTTTCGTTCATCTATTTCCTTTTTCTCCCTCTCCTTCACTAATTTCTTTTTGATTCATTTGTTCTTTGAGATCTTTACGTCATTTAATCGAATTCACTGAACTGAACCAGAAGGAACTATGGAACTAAATTAATTAACTAGTTCATTTAGAGGAGAAAACCCAAACTCGTTCCTGAAGTAAGAAGAGTAATATAATTGAAAGAACTGGATCATATCAGCTTCATAGCCGATCCAGAATTAGAAGGACAGTAGATCAACGACAAATATGATGGTGTTCCATCGATAGAAAAAAATAAAGAATCCGCCGTAGGGATTCTGATGAGGAAAATCAAGGCGGTCGGCTAATCATCAATGGTAATTTTAACTGTGCTGTATTTAAAAAACGTCTTCATGTTTGGTGGAGTTGAGTAGTCTCGAAACAAAGTAGTTCAAATGATCAATTCTGTAAAAGGTACGATCAGTACTAGGCCCGATTTATTCGATCATCTAGGTCCTTTTGCACAGTCGTTTCTTTTTGGTCTCATTCCTCTAGTTCCGTATTGATCCAACGGTTCATATAGATCTTCCCGTTCATTCACCGAATCAGCTGATGTGCAGCAATGTTCGGTTGAACTAACTTTTGCAGCGAACCGAAAAGATTGAAGCCCTTGAGGAACGTGATTACTTAACTCTAGTAAAAATAGTCCTGCAATTAAAAATTACACGATAAAGAGGGATCGAAGAAGTAGAACGCCAGCATCAAAATTTGACAGAATATAGGCAAGTAAATCAAACAAAAAAAAACATGATGATATCCGCCATGTAAATGGAGGAACTTAATAAAGAGGAAGATAATCAAGACGACCCACTAATCGACAATGGTATCTTAAAATGTGTTTAGTCAATAATATGTTTAACTTTAGAGAGCCTGTAAAGTTGAATCATGCCAGAGAGAAGTTTACTCAGAATCTCTCTATCTGTAGAGTTGGTTCCTTCCGGAATGAACCTGTTCAAAGGAACTATTCTCCAAAAGGAGCGATCGGTACTAGGTTATTTCAATAATCTAGTTCATTTTGGTTTATAATTGAATGGATATGCATTGGTTCTATAGATGGTGGTGGGTTGCGGGATGCGATCAATTTGCCTGTTTCTTATAAAAATATAGTTATCGTCTTGGTGTGGGTCAGGGATCAATTTTTGAGATAAGATCTTCATCTTAGATAATTGTGTTTCTACAAAAATGAAGTAAGATTTGCCACATGTGGAATGTTTGAGTTAGATTATGAGATCGAGGTATTTATTTAAGGCAGTTTTCGGCAGTTTGGCATATAGTATAGCGGAGGATCATAGCTTCGCTTTAGAGCTGGGTTGATACTTTAGCACTAGACTAACTTTGGAAAGGTTTCTGATTATTTTTTCACAAAATATACTATTTTCCACGAGAGAAAAAATAATATCTTCCGTACGCTTATGTACTAAATTACCACTCCTGAAGTTTGTGTATTGGTGTGTAGGGGGCAAAAAATAATCGAATCCCTTAGGAGATATATTTGTAGATTCCAATCTTCAACTTACCTTTTGATTTTGATAATTTCTCCGATTTTTCGCCGCCACTGCGTTCCATGCGGTGTGCCGAAGAACGCAGGGAATTATTGCGTTCATCGTCGCGTGTCAGACGTGATGAGGAATGTTTTCCATTCGTCTCCGATTTTTCATGACGTTCTGAGGAGGATTTAACTTGCGACGAAGAAGAAGTCCCTTGATTGCTTGAACGTTTCAGGCGCTGTGAATCACGTAATTCATCACGATGACGACGACCGCTGGAACTAATGGCGGAACCACGTTGTAGCGATGATGAACCGCCCGGGGTATGGGGATCACGTTTGCTATGCTGTTGGGATGTGGCAAGTCCATTTGTGTTCTCCTTGTGGCACTCTGCACGTTCTTTGTGTGTTGAAGAACGTGTGGTACTGGATGAACGTTGGAACTCACTGTGTGAGGAGGATTTTGTGGAGGATGATTTCAGATCAGGGCGTTGGGATTTGGAAGTGGAGGACGACGTATTGCTGGGACGTTTGGTTTTGGCCCGGGAACGATCTTCACGACGGAAACTGTTGCGAAGCTGTTGGTTCTGCTGTTGTTCCTCACCTGAGGAATATTGGGAATGGTAAGAGCGCTGTGAGTCCAATGAACTGGATCTTCGCTCCTCATGTGGCCTATGGCTTTTATGTTTAACCATTTGCGTGGATCGTGAAGATTTTGTTGCGGATTTTATGTTTTCATATTCCTTTTCACTGGAGAGGGAACGCGATCTGGCCCGAGGACAACATTCCACAGATGATTGGGACGAAGTACGTTCCCTTGGGGCAATATTTTGGCGATTAGGTGATGGTGTCGAATGGCGTGAAGTTTTACGGGCCTCCGAAGCAAATGTGCCTCGGGCCACCTTAACCGCTATACACGTGTCGGAGATCTTTTCCGTAATCGATTTTTCGTCAATGGTTTCGAGTGGCTTGGAGTTACGCCTCTGCAGAGAACGACGTTTGCGATCCTTTAGGGAAGATTCATCGGAGAGTTCCTGGAGGGAGACAAAAATAAAAATTGATTAAAAAATATTTTTTTTCAAGGTTCTCCTTTTTCAAGGTCAAATACCCCCTTGATTTTTTTAATGATTTCTAATACTCACCCTTAAAGTTTGATCAGCACTTTCATTCATTTCACTCAAAATCATTGCATCCCGTTGCAAATCCAATTTTCGATCGTACACCTCTTTGACTTTAAACACCGGGGTAATTTCATTGGCAATATTCTCATAGAGATGTTCCTCCTCGGCATCCTCCAATTCGGCTTTCTTCTTCAGAGAAATTCTTTCCGCTGGTTTTAGTTGGGAATTGCTCTTGGGTGCCGGTGGATTATGTTTCAGCAAATCCGGTTTATCATGTTCCAATTGCCATTGCCTGCCCGGTGAGGATCTATCATTCTCCGCCCGTCTTCCATTCGTTCCCGTCATTTCTTCACTTACCCTCCTTAGAGGTAAAGAACGTTTGGGAGAATTTCGATTACCCGAATTGAGGGCAGGATATTTCGATTTTAATTTTTCCGTTTCGTTTTGTTGTGAGGCTGCTATACCGAAGTAGGAGAGTTCATGATCGCGCAGCTGACGGGCACCACGAGCTTCTTTGATAATTTTTAGGGAGTCTTTGGTTGGCAGACTCGTTTGATATGGTTTGTGGGGTTGTGTCGTCGTCGTGGTGGTTTTGGTTTCCATAGCAACTGTGTGGGGAAAATAAAAGAGAAGAGCAATTAATGTTGAAATTTCTACTCATTCTGAATTTCACCCTACTCACCATTACTGTTAACGGTTCTTGGCTTTGCTATCGGCGGCACAACCTTTACCGCTGTGGTGGTGGTTGTTGGGTTCACCTCTGTTGCCGCCTGTGGTGAATGTAATTTAATACTCATCACATTTGAGTGTGGTAGATCTGTAATGAGGTGGGAAAAGTGGTTAGATGTTGGAAGGAGGTTTTGGAATCGAATAGTACTGTACAAACACATTTATAAAATAAGTGTAAAGTAAAGTAATGGGGAAATGTGGTAGACTTCTTTATCCGTTGGAACATTTGTGTTTTGGGGATGTACCCCGGTGTACCCTACACCATAGTAGGGTATTATTGGAGGGTATGTAAAGTTTCACATTCAGTTTTTTATATTTTGAAAAAAAAAAAAACATTTTATACCTCATAATATTACTGACCTCATAATTTCTCTCTGCGGACGATAAAGATAGATAGATAGGATCAATGATGGATAGGATCAATGAGTAGTAGTTATAAGAGACTTTATAGATATACTGAAGCCTTCGAAAGTCTTTGAAGGTAATCCGATGTTTCGGTAGTCCAACAGAAGACTCAAATAGAGCTTTCAAGGGGTCGTTATATAAGTCTTTAAACGTGTGCTTTAAACTGAAGCCTCAGAGATCACTGGGACTGGAGCCTCGAGTGAAACTTCGACTGAGAACCTAATGTTAAAGAGCCTTTTGAAGGTGATATAAAGGACCTGAGAATCGTTATAGGCGTACTAATGCTCATAGTGCTAACTGGAGGCTCGGGAATTTTGTATTGGATTGTCGAGGGGCTCAAGGAATTTTCACAGGCTGGTTGATGACTTAAATGATTTCTATAGGAGAGCTAATAGCTTAAGAAGTCTTTATAGCCGTACTGAAGCTCGAACAGAAGCCTTAGGGAGTATTTGCTGGTGTGCTGATGTCTCAAAGTGTTTTTATAAGTGTGTTCAAGGTCAACAGGAGTATTTACAGAAATTTTGAAGGTACAGGAAAGTTTTATAGGCTAGCAGATGCCTCAAATGAAGTGCTGATGCTCATTGGGCGAACTGAAGGCTCAGCTATTTTTGTATAGGCTCGGAAACCCTCCAGAAATCTTCAAAGAGCAGTTTAGAGCTTAAATGATTTTTATGGGAGAGCTGAGCTGATAGCTCAAGAAGTCTTTATAGCCGTATCGAAGCTAAAACAGAAACCTTCAGGAGTATTTATAGGTGTGCTGAAGACTCAAAGTGCATTTAAGGGCACGTTGAAGGCCAACGTGAGTATTTACAGAACTTTTAAAGGCACAGGGGAGTTGCATATGATTGATGATG